GTACAATGAGTCCAGGCGGGTGTGGCCAGGATAGTGCTGGGAGTGGCCGAGTTGGTTTTGAAGATGGTGAAGGTTAGAGGGATGGTTGAAATGTGCGGCATCTGAAGCCAACGCTTCTGGTAGAATATGAGGCCTCTGACCCTAAAACTGATATCAGAGCTGATAACAGGTAGACAGTGATACGACCTACATGTGCTGAATTGCTCAACATGGCAAATATATCTTCCATAGCTCTGGCATCTGGATTGCCCGTGTGTATTCCATTATATCCACTGAGCTCGCCCCTCTGAGCTGGTGTTGGGCCGCCCATTGGAGCCTTTCCCATTCCTGGTTGAGAGTCTCTCCCTTTCCCGTCAAAGAACTTTGCAAACCGGCTGCCTTTCGCGGCTGCGATTCCAGGGTTCAATTGCTCGTACGGAATGGAGTGGCTAGGCAAAGGCCCGCTAATGGGTACGTCAACCTGTTCAACGGTCATATGCCCAAAGGCATTACGATCTCCAGGAGGTGCGACAGAGGTGCGACGGAACGCATCCAAAGGCGACAATCCAAGTCCTTCCCGAGCTTCCTCGAACGGCGAGAAGCCTCGAGTTACTCTCACAGCGTCCGGATTGTCGTTATGATGTATAGTTGACAGAGGTCCATTTGAGGGAATGGTTGAGTTGATTACTGGCGTGCCATTCTTCGACACAGACACCGGGGAATGCGAGCCTGTGTAGGAGGGAGGGGTGTGACCTACAGACCCCTGAGGAGTTTTGGAGGCAAAAGAAAGAAGACGACAGCCTGGCGGAGGGGCAGCGTGAGGAGCTGATGGGACAGCAGTGCTAAGTACTTCGATAGAAGGCTTTGGCAAAGCTTGAGGTGCCGGTAAATCAGTAGAAATAGGCTTGGGGAAGAAGCGAGAACCTCCTGGTTTTTCTTTGTCGATGTCAGATTCGGGGGCACCTGTTGATACTCCAGGTGCAATGGAAGACGATGATGGTGATATCATAGACAGGAGTGCACGAGAACCATCGTGAAGAGCTGACTCAGCCTGTGGCGAAGGTGGAGAATTAGATAACTGCGAAGAAATTGGCTGAGGTGGAAGATAAGTGCGATGTTCTGTAGTTGCTTCGACCGATGACAGATCTATCCGTGTATTAGCACATCGAGCCTGCCTAAGAGAAAGAATTAACTTGCCATTTGTAGGAGTAGAGCCCTTGGTCTCTGAAGATGTGTCTGCGAGTAATGATGGGCCCGCAAGGGGAGACTGGTCAGATTTCTTCTTCTGTTCTTCCCTTTTCATCATCAGCTTGAAGAGCTGAATTTCGTCCAGGTGGGGTTCGGACGTATTTGCCTTCCCCTCAAAGTCACCAGAACGATCACCGTCTTGTGCAGCAGTGCCTTGCTCCTTCTGCTCTCTCTCCTTAATCTCTCGCTTGAATGCCTGTATGCCATCCAGGTCTCCGGGGGCACGGCCTAAACCGCTGCTGCCAGAAGAAGGAATGTATGTGTCCATCCATGCAGGCTCTTTCTCTCTCTCTTTCTCACGTTCTCTATCACGATCCTTGCGATCGTCCCTGTCCTTCGCTTCGTCGGGTTTTCTCTCGCGGCCAGCCGCTCGCTTGTTTCGACCATCACGGTCATCGGTGGGGGCCCATCGACGATCCTGACGATCGCCAGCATCCCACGCTGCAGGGCGGTCGCGTACCCGGTCCTTGTCTCGTTCGCGGTCCCGCTGCTCGCGGTCCCGTCTCGCTGCCATACGCTCATCACGTTTTCCGTCGTCCCTCCAGCGGCGAGGATCGTCCACTTCAGATTCTCTATCCAATTCACGGTCGTCCCTTCGGTATCCCGCTGCCTCTTTCTGGTGGTCATCGCGGTCGCCTCTGCGATCACGATCCCTGTCATCCCGATCACGTCTCGATGGTGAAACATCTCGTCGTGGGCGGGAAGAGTCACGGACTCTTGAGCGAGGTCGGTCACGCTCATCTCGATCACGCCGAGGATTATCAGAACCTAGAGAAATTATGAACAGCCATTATATAGGAACAGAAAATTCAGTCTTACGTTCACGACCTGTGCGAGTTGATTCTATTCCGCGACTTAGTGACATAGACTATAAGTGAGGTATCGAACGTACCACGTCTCCAATCTTCGCTTGTTTCACCATCTTTCTTTTTGGAAGGTTCTCGGGAATCCAGCTGACGATTACTCGGGGCTTGCTGCGACTGGGACGCTATTCGAGAGGATGTACCACCAATGTGAGGAGTTAAGTCCCTATCCTTTCCTCGAAGCTGCTGCATGGAGGAAAGAGCACGACGGTCACGGTCATACTTGTCCGACAACTTGGATAACATATGAGCGCTCTGGCACGCAATAGCTTCGGCCACTTACATTCCGTAGTCTTTCTTGACCGTCTTTGACCCGGGAATCACGTTCTTGTTCTCTGTCCGTATCTCTGTCTCTGTCTCGGTCAGCTGCACGAATGGACTGGTGCTTGAAGTTGCCCATTTGCGAAGGCTGCGTGATAGCAGCCCCACGAAAAGAAGGTCGGGCAGCGCCTTCTAATGACACTGATCAGACCCAGTCTCAAGCGAAGGTAATAATGATACCTACCCCCGTCCTCCGCATCTCTACGAAAGCTGTCATGATGTTAAGTAGGTCTTTAATGGTGGTATTAGCAGACCTCACCGTCGGTCACGAGCATTAGGCTGAGGAAGTGCTTCTGAGTCTTTTTTGAGATTGCCTTGGTCGCTCTCACTTCTGAAGAGGTAGAATAAGCCACAAGCTCGAGGAGTAAGACATGACACGAACCCAAACCAATCCTTCAAAGCTGGCATGCCAGTCGGAGTACAGACCAAGGGAGATTTATGAAGAAGCAGTAGATGAAGTCGGGAATACATAACAAAGGGTCGACTATGGATATCATTTTTGTCTTTATTGAGAGTGTCAGTAGGGGATTCTGGTGATTGAGAAGATGAATTGTCTGGTCGGAGAGAAACTTTGGCCACAGCGTCAGATAAGTTGTCAATAGTACCATCCTCTGCGAAAACAACGTCATGGGAAGCGACCTGGTTCTCTACACCAGACATTGTGGTGTAAATGGAATATTGAAGAGACTGAAGAGACTTGTGAGAGAAGCAAAATCCCAATAGCAATGCCAGCAACGCGGACTTGAAGAGCGGAAAAGCAAAACAGTGCAACTCTAATTCTAGCCACAATTTCCTCATTCAAGAGCGCGCATGCCAGATTTTGGTCTCAAGTATTTCATTTTGCAGCAGAGAGTCATCCACCTGTATCGTCATGCTATAAGAGCGTCCAAATGTGCGCTATCGTCTTTTCTGAAAGAGCATTACTACAGCTAATTACCATCATCAGACATACCTGACCCACGGGCAAGGTCCGAGACCATTGCCTGGTTTCGCAGCGAAATCGAGCGCAATAAATGGCTGACCGACGTGGTGAGTTCTTATTCTTGGTGATTCACGCCTCTGGTACTCATCGTAGGTTAGGCTGTCATAGAAGAAAAAATCACCATGGCTCGTCGAGAGATTCGGCAAATACTTCCAACATCACAGCTTCAGGCACTATAGGCAATATCGTCACAGGAGCACTGTTGCGATGGCAAGGCTCCTAAATTTTTCAAAGACCGGAGGTTTCTTCGTTGCAAGCTGCAGGATCATGCACACACGATGACGATTCCGAGTCCAGTCAGGACAAGAAAGATCAGATACGGACTGTCCACATTCTTCTCATCCATCAGGGCGGATGTCAAAAACAACACATCCTCATCGCAAATTACATAGTGAAGGTGTATTGTCTATAACCCTCGTCCATATCCTGACAAGAAGCGAGCATTGACAGTAGCACGAAGACCGGCTCATTCCACTACGCATAAATGCGTCGCTAATTGAACATGCCTTTCTACTTTTGGTTTGTAATAAGGTTTTGTTTCGTTTCGCATATCATGCAACCTGAACGACTTCAAACCAAGAGTATATCATGATAAGTATAAACAATATACATTCCACTTATTTGCTCACTCAGGACATCGTTGCTTTAAGATCGCAGCCCAGGGCCCAAGACTCGCGCCGTTACTCCCGGTACTCAAATTGAAATCTAGTGTCCATCGTTGTCGCAGTTGATGAACCAGACATAGCGGCGTGGGTACTTCAAATGTGACCGTAGCAGGATACTCTTCACAACTCTCCCAGGGTGCCGGTCATCGTCACCAAAGTCTTGAACTTCCAACGAGCGCTAGGAATGAGTTGAACCTTTGCACTCCTGAGTTGTTGTATTTGGACCTTGCTGTCCGCAACAGGGAGCAACGAAATGCAGTTTTCTTGCGATCTTGGTGGGTCGGGTGTGCGGTAATATGTGGGGTTCTCCTTGAATAGCATGACCGTGATTAAGGCTGGGGTCTCATCTGACCTTTGACCAGGAACAAAGAAAAATATCCGTGGGATATTGCAGGGAAGAACTCAAATCCGTATTTCGTACCCGCATAATTCCCTAAACCGCAGGAAGTCCTCGACTGCCTGATGCCTCTGGCCACACTTCTTCCACTGTGCACTAAAATAGTTGAAGGTACTGGCCAGATACTGAAACAGCTTGCGAAGACCACGGTTATATAAAGCGGATTTAACAGTTGAAACGATATCCACACTCAGGAGGCCCAAAGGTATGATTTTGGGACAAAATTGCATGTTCAGCATCAACTCCAAGCTTACTAGCCGAAAGACCTACCTGCGTTAATCGTCCGAAGCTCCCATCTACCTTCGACTCGACATGTGCTGGGGCTTGGGTGAGATCTTCCAGAAGGCTCAGAATATCTGACAAGTTCTGTTTAGCCACCCTTTCTGATGTCGGTCTTCTTCTTGATGACGACGAACTTGTACCGTTTTGAAATATTCTATGACTACTTGCATAATCTAGTCAATATGTGTCTTGTATGACCCACTAGAACACAATCATGGTGGGAAAATACATATTCTCCGAGGTTATACAACTGCAGGTGTAGGAGAAATTATAATTTCTGCCTGCGTCAGGGAGGCTAGGACTCGGGCCTCAGGTCGCAAGCATCCGCACCTGGATTTTTTCGGGAGGTTATTTAAGCTGCTCATGAGTCCGGTGACATATCAGCCTACTAGTAGTAGTCACTGCGGCCACTAGTGATTGAATATCATTCATTCGTCAATGAGCACTCAGTGGGTGTGACAACAGTTTGAAGTATAATCTTAAGGGGTAAAGATTAACGAATCTCGTGCCGAGTGACGCCGGGATGAAAGGAAACAATATACTCAAGTCAGCAAGGGTCCTTCAAGGTGAATGAAATAAAACAAGTAACTGTGAGTGTCGGACGCGTTCAATATTTACTAATGATAATAAAAATGATACGGAGTACACCTAGCAACGAGACAAACGTTCACTGCGTCTGTAAAAGCCATACAGGCTTGTAGTCCGGCATAATATGGCTTGCCTTCTCTACTTTCATTGCCCACTCATCCATCTCGCGTTGGAGGAGCTCCAAGAGATGAGTGTACTGGCGAACTCGATGCTGTGCTGCAGAATAGCTCGCATACACTGTATTGATAGTGTACTGGGTGAATAGCTTATCCTGGGCTTCGTCGTCCAAGTCGATATCATCCAGCGACATCTTACGCACCCCAGTTAGTGCTTGTGACTCGGTATAATAGAGATGATCGTACCAAATATGTCTGCAGCTCCCGATTGCGCCCAGCCATTTGTATTTTGCTCATGGCTTCAGACATATTGTCATTGCATCCAAAATGTTGTTCACAGGAGAGCCTTTCTGAGGGTATTGATGATGACGACATTCTGCAGTGTGCGGGTAAGCTTGAAATACGATTCGAGTAAAAGTGAGTAGTTCAGATATCGGACGATTTTAGTCGGAGTAATGCGGTAAATCAAATAACAACTTGAAGCTGGCCCTAGTGCGCACTGCGAAGGACTTGTGCGATATATGCACCAGCTGAGAATAACCCAAGCTTGAGAAAAAGACCGAATGAGTAGTATGAGGACGTTGAGACTGATGTAATTCACAATTGTATTACCTAGCCAGCGATGTCAGGCTTAGTGTGATCCTGGCTGCTTTCCACCCCAAAATATAATCGGCACCCAACGTTTGTGCCCTTAACCAGTGCAGGCCTGGTTGGCACGCTCAAGAAGTGGTGGCGCCTGGAAGCTCTGCATTCTACAAAAGTGACCGTGCCTCAGTAATCTGGTCAGAGATGCTGACTGGCTGAAAGTTACACCATGGACAAACGTATCGCTTTCAATAGCAGATGATGATGATAACGCACTCTTTTCAAGCATCGTGTTGTCGAACGACCCATTATACGCTGCTCTGAAGAGACGGTTTAAGAAAATATATCAAGAGGCCGCACGGCGAACCTCAGCGCTCTGGTAAATCCACATAGCTCACACATCCGACTGGTCAGCCTAGCAGCATCATCATGGTCTAGAACCGATGACATAGACGACCCTTCTCATTGCGGGTATTGGGGAAGAACTGTTCACATGTAGACCAACCTCTAGATCGTCCCAGAGGTTATAATTGAAAAAAAGAGATGCTCGGGGTAACAAGCTTCAGCTTCAGTTAGATTGCCCTGAGCGCGGTTCCGATACGCTCAAAGCGCTGCAAGGAGTGTATTTTTAAGTGAAGCGAACCATACAAACAACAGGGATACCCAAATTACGTCAATGTAATGCTTAAAGGACATGCAACAATCATATCGGTGCCATGTTCCGCGGTATACATGGAGTAGAGCTGCAAAAGGGACGAGATGGGCCGTAGAGTACCCTCGGCCCTTGCAGATTGTTGGATGTCGATCTAAGCTTGATTGCGCAGAACTAAGGGACGTGGTAAATGACAGAAATATTTCAGGGTGTCTTCACTTACTAAGAATTACCGAGTCTCCACTAACAGATCACAATCATCACCCTGCTGGGATAGCACATATGAAAATGTCACTCACCGCAAGAACATTTTACTGATAAACCGATCCTTGTTGACTGGCTTCTTGTTCTTACCCTTTGGGACTTCGGTCCACATCTGCATCGTACTTCAGTAAGGACCTCTGCTAGTGATGGACTAAAACAGACCTCTTTGACGTTTTCAAGTACCTGCAGCACATCAACTTTAAAACTTGTAGACAAATACTAAACAGTGACACACCATATTACTGTGGCGATCAAAGGCCTTTACACGAGCGAGAAGCTTCTTGTTATTCCGCAAAGAAATGAGGACTTGGGCGTGGTTGCGGACTGCCTGTTGCAGAACTGAAAGGGGCCCCTGGCTGATTTCGTGCTCCTCCAGCTGGCGCAGCTGAGCTTCGTCGAGTTCTGATTTTGGTACATGCACGTATTGACTGGAAAGTTATTAGCCAATATCTAGATGCCTTGAGTCTTGTCACCTACCTCATGATTGCTTGTAAGGAACGTTTGTTTGTCAAGGCCAAACAAACGATCGAAAATCAATCTGAAAGTATACATCAAGCTTTTTGTCAAGTTTTTGCAAGAAATAGCTCAAAAATACCGCCATGGGTCGATTGAAACAAAAAGGAAAGGCTGGTGCAGCAAAGACCTATATTACACGGTCATCTGCTGTGAAGAAACTTCAGTGCTCTCTGGCTGACTTTCGCCGACTATGTATCCTCAAAGGTAGCGTCATCTTGGTTGTTTCACAGACTCAATCCACTGAAAGTTGTGTAGGAATCTTCCCTCGCGAGCCCAGACATAAGAAACGGGCAAACAAGGGGTCAACAGCACCGACGTCATTTTACTATGCGAAAGATATCGCTTACCTCGCTCACGAGCCAGTCCTGAATAAACTGAGGGAACACAAAGCCTTCGCGAAAAAAATCTCTCGAGCACTTGGACGAGGAGAGTGGTCAACTGCGAAGAACTTGGAGGATAATAAACCTGTATACCGATTGGATCATATAATTAAAGAGAGGTATGCAACGCAGGGCGTCTTGAAGGGCATTGGCTGATCAAGTTTAGATATCCATCATTTATCGACGCAGTACGAGACATCGACGATGCACTTTGCATGATCCATCTCTTTGCATCTCTCCCTTCGAATCCTCGGGTTTCGCCCGCTCTCATCGAAAATTGTGCCCGTTTGACCGCAGAATGGCAGTTATATGTCATGCACACGCGGTCGTTGCGGAATGTTTTCTTGTCTATCAAGGGTGTATACTACCAAGCAGAAATAATGGATCAAAATGTAACCTGGCTCGTACCGTATCAATTCCCACAGAACGTGAGTTGTCTTCTTGAATCTATGTCTATGTTGCTCATACATTTCGCTCAGATACCATCCGATGTGGATGTCCGTGTTATGCTTACCTTCCTCGAACTGTACCAGACATTACTTGGGTTTGTATTTTTCAAGTTATATACAGACGCCTCACTTGTATATCCGCCACCCTTGGACTCTGGCAGGGACGAATCTGGAGCTGGCGTTGGAGCGTTCAATCTCCGGCCAGTGAACCCAGCCACTGGAGGACCGACGAGCGATACTCCCAAGGTATCCAGCAAGGAAGTCCGGCAGACAATCAAGAGCATCACTGCAGAATCATCCACGATGCCTCCTAATGACGTAGATATTGATCATATTGATCGCACCGATTCCTTTCGCGATGCCGCTGAGGAGGAATTTGTACCGCAAGCTTCAAAGTCTGATCTTGATGTACCGTCGTCAGCTCCCTACACTTCTCTCACTCTCATCCTTACCAAAACCATCATCGACAAACATACTTGCCCCATACACTTTTTGGCTATCACGCGAATCATCACGATCAATATTCGAGTTCCTCATCCGGTCTTTTGGTGGTCGTATAGGCTGGCCGGTCTCATCAGGAGGTGGCTCACCATTTACGGAGGATGATGAGACAATCACCCACGTTATTATTGACAGGCCCGCTGCCAAGGGTGATACAGCCCAGGAACAAGAACGTCGAAGACGACGGAAGTATGTACAACCTCAGTGGGTGGTTGATTGTATCAACGCTGGTAAAATCCTACTCGAGGATCTTTATGCCCAAGGAAAGACACTTCCACCCCACCTATCACCATTTGGCGAACGAGATGGAGCATATGACCCAACCATTGGCCTGGCGAACGTCGAGAACTCGTTGATCCAAGTTGATGACGCTGAGCTCAGCGAGGACAGTCAGGAGGTAGAAGACGTGGAGATGGGATCGGAATTAGAGGGAGATGTAAAATCGATGGCTGCCTTGGCGGTGGCTGCTGCAGACGACCCAGAGGCCTTGCGTGCGGCGGAACTTGCGGCAGAAGCAGCCGGCGTCGACTTTGGTACATTCGAGAAGGAGGTACAAAAGAAACAGAAACAGCAGAAACACAAGGGAGATGCTGTTGTCAATGGCGGTGGTGAGGAAGACATGAACAAGATCCTAATGAGCAAACGCAAGCGCCAGTTGTACGAAAGAATGAAGTACGGGGAGAAAAAACGAGCTGCTGAGGTCCGTCCTGGAGTTAGTCCCATTAATGGGGTTTTTGTTCTAATCTCACCGTTTCACAGCATGCCAAACTCGAAGAAAAGAGGACCGAAGATTGAAAAGGACAGACGAAGGAAGGCCAGGGCATCATGAGATTGGTCGTAGTCTTAAGCTTAAGTCCCCATCGCATGATGTTCGAACTATGTGTGCTCGTCCTTACTGCTACCGTACTGTCTGCAAATATACACTGAATCCCACGAAGAGTATTATGTAACTCCGAGTCAAAATGATTGGTGGGCGGTGTAATTTTGAAAGTTCGTTGGTGTGAGCTGATTAGCTCTTAGAAATCACGTTCGTGCCGGTGAGCGCGACTGACGCCCATGCCCACGATTTTTGAGTCAACTTCTTTCCACTAAACTGGCATCGTTGTTCCGGCGGTGCTTATCATCGCCGGTCACTAGACCTCATCACAGCCACTTGTAGAAGTTTAACCGCTTACAGTAACCTGGAAGTTTCAGCATGGTTGGCTTTCTGGGTACAGGAAGCAGGAATTCCCCAGCGACGGGCAGTTGCCATCCTGATACTACTCTGAACTCGCCGCCCCATCCTAATGGAAGTGCTGCTTGCGTCTTCCCCGACAAGTCTACACCCAATCAATCTGCCGGCCACCAACCTCAGAGTACTAGCGACAACTAGTCATGGTCCCCTTCGTTTCTTTTCGCTTCCTCACTGGACACGAAAGGTACTACCTGCCTCCGTGTCTGCTCGCCGAAGTCTAGCTAGTATGCCCTCTGAACTCGGCGTCATTCGGAGAAACCCCTCAAAACTTATGCTGGACAAGGAGCTCCCGCCAACACCTGCCGATTCAGAGTGTAGCGGGCAATCCCAACTCTGCACAAACGTCCTCGCCCATATCCACAGATAGATTCGCCCCCTCACCTACCTTGCCAAAAGCAGAGGCACCTCCAACCCCCGCTGAAACCAGACATACACAGTCAACGTTATATTTCGATGTATATCATGATCCTGTCCCCCGTGGAGTGAACACAGTGTCTTTTGTCACTACCTTCACCTACGGGCATCGACCAATGCAACTCGACCCTCCCGCTACGACACACCAGAAGTACACAATCATTCCTTTCACATAAACAGGCAGACCGGTCAACGCAGCCTCTCGACGGTGCAGATCGAGTTCGTGGTTTTTCGTTCGGCCAGAGACAATCTAGGTTCTAGACGAAAAGATGCGGAACCACCGCCGACTGGTGAAAACAACAAAGCATCACCTGTTCGTCAGGCGTCGACTAAATCTTCGCAGCAGCTGCTTTCAGTTCCGTTTGATTCTCTGTCCCTTCCAGCATTGCAGCCGACATCACCATTTCACATAGACTTCCATTCGGATACTCCTGCATCTTCTCGGCAACCGCTGCAACGATCCGCTTCAAGATTGACACGAAGTCACTCAGAGAAGTTCTCCAGACATCCGTCCACCTCCAACTCTGAAGCACCTGCATTACCCAATATTCTATCAGCATTTGATTTGTCCCAGCATCATTCAACGACTGCCAATTCAACATTCCCTTCCCATCATCCACCCCGACCCGCGCTGCGCCGCCCTTTGACTGCCGATTCTGTCCGTTCACGCACTCGTTCATTTTTTACTCTATCACCACAGACAACATCCGGCCCTTCCACACAAACCCCGCACTTTGGAAACGCACTCTCAAGTCTCACCTCGTCTACCTCCGCCAATCATGCAAATAATCGACCACGTTCTGCTACGAATCCACCTCTCCTGCACCGGCTTTCGATCAATTTTTTTGCATCATCTACTGCCTCAGCAAAACCTGGGACAGTTTCCGGCAGTTCCACAAGCGCCTCACCAGTTTCTCGATCACGCCCCCAATTGCTTTCATCGGTACCATCTCAGGAGCTGAAACCTCAACATGACGAGTCGCCCGAGGCCTTCCTGAAGAGACTTTCCGCTCTTGTTGGTAAAGCTGATATCGCGGGGTTGTTGGGATCAAGGTACATCACATCACTTTTCACTTTTCACCACTCTAAGTTGGTTCTCAGTGCGGAAGCCAAGTATGTAACTACTCTCAAACTTTATATCGGAAAATTCTCTTTCACTGGGGATCCTCTGGACGTTGCTCTACGTCGGCTTTTGATGCACATTGGTCTTCCTCGGGAAACACAGCAAATCGATAGGGTGATTGAAGCTTTTGCGAAGCGGTACGTTGAGTGCAACCCAGATATATTCATGTCCGACGGTAAGCACGATTTCACACACGTATTGCCAATGGACTTGTACTTATTAGACTTTTAGATGTCCCATACATTCTTGCCTTCAGTCTCATCATGCTTCACACAGATGCATTCAACAAATCCAATAAGCGTAAGATGTCAAAAGTTGACTATCAGAAAAACACGGCTATCTCAGGAATTATACCCGAAGTGCTGGATGTATGTTGTAAATTGACCATTTTAACCCCTCAGAACTGATGCACGCCTTTAGTGCTTCTATGATAACATTGTTTTCGCTCCTTTCATATTTATCGAGGACCCTATGGATCCCCCTCGTCCATCAATTGATGGCAGTCTTTCACGACCTACTTCCACCATTGTTCCGATGACACCAATAGGAGGTACTCTACTGAGCAGACCAAAGATTGATCCGTATTATCTGATCACCAATGTAAGTAGTCTCACTTCTTCAATGCACTATCAATGACACTTTTACTTTGAAGCACTTACTTGATTCGCTCCGCGTGAATGTCGAACAGCACATACCCTTAGATAACCCATACTGTTGGAAGGGAACAAGCGGTTCCTGGAATAATGACGAACTTTGGTCCGCCTTTGACCAAGGGGATACGATAGAGATTACTTGCCTTGAACACAATCGCTTGCCTTCTGGGTTGTTCGGCCTCAACGTCCCCAGTCCATCACTTATGGGGACAAACGCACTCCCCGGTTTCTTACCACCTCAGAAAGAGACTTGGCGGCTTAAGCTGTCGAAAGTATCTGTTTTGAATCGCAAAGACGAGATCTTGGAAGGCGGTAAAAAACCGAGCCGCAAGTGGAAGCCGTTTGGTGTTGCTTTGACAACTTCGCAAGTTCTTCTTTTTCGCGATCCATCGTGGGCTGCCACTTTTCTGTCATCCTCGGATTGTTCCAACAAGTCGACCATACATTGCAAACCCGATGAGGCTTTGTCGGTGAAAGACGCACTCGCTGTGTTCGATCGGTCATATCAAAAGGTATTTCTTTTTCATTGCTCTTCTGTGTGATGCTAACGTCTCTGCAGTATTCAAACACTTTTCGCCTGGCCCTCGCTGATGGACGCCAGATCTTGTTCCAGGCTTCAAGTGAACTGGAGGTCAATCAATGGGTTTCGCGCATCAACTATGCTAGTGCTTTCAAGTCTGCTGGGATACGAATGCGTCCCCCTGGCATGACAGGCAGGGAGGTGACGCTAACTGGGGTTGCTGCTGCGCAATCATATCTCCAAGACTTACGGGTGGTGCAACAACCGCAGCCCAAAATTCGTTCATGGGGTTCGCAAAGCTCACTCATTCGTGACACTGAGTCGACCGACGAATGCACAGAGGATGCTGTCGAGCGATTAAACTCAGAGGAACTCGAAGCTTTGCGTGACATCACCCATGAACCTCCTGTCGTGCGTGAGATAGAAGGAGCATCCCAGTTCAAAGCTACGTTTGACCAAGTGAAAGCGCAACTGGCTGCTGCTCGGTGCAGTCTGGGTGATCAGTCGTTGTCCTTGGATGACGTATCTGATGCTGTTGCTCCCTTCCCTGGGCATCGCTCTTCCCTGACAGCCGACGACAATCCCTTTCCCCAAAGCAACCGCACCATTCTCCTCCAATCCACCATCGGCGATCTCGAAGATCGGATTTGTGTAGCTCAGCCACTTCTCGAAACGAAGATGCACTTCGCTCGCAACATAGCGGTTTTGACACCCTTTCAGCGGTCAACGCGAGATCGGCTTCAATATGCAGTACAAAATGTAGCAAAGCAGATCTCCCAGTTGCGTCTGGAGATTGCTAGGCTCATTTGTCATCGCAATATCCTGCTAAACGACGTTGCAGCAGAGGAACAGGGGTTCAAACAGGCAGCTACGATTGCTTTGAGCGCCGCCATGGATACTATACAGAGTCGAGGACAGTGTATACCTGAGCCGACAACATCGCCCGATGATGGATCGATTGACGTGTCGTTGCCGCAATCATCTTCCAAAGCCATACCCGGTTCTCTGGAGCCCTCCATTGATGATTCTTTCCGGTCTGCTCTAGATTTCGGTCCAGACTGGCCGACAAACTACACGTTTTCTGTGTCGAACGTCTTAGAGACACCGAGAATCATGGACTCTCCTCTCACTGAAGGGGAAGGCTCGGGATACCCGTTCCTAGAGGCCGACACCAGTCTCTCGGAGTCTCGGACGGCTCATTCTATGCGGAGCTCTCTAGAGCTATCCGTACAAGACAGCAGCACTCCCCAATCTGTCTACGAGAAGTTTTACACAGCGCAAGAATCACCTGAAGAGCAAGCTGAGGAGTGGAACAAGACTCGAGCAGCGAAACGTGTCTCGCTGGTCAAATTGCCCCCAGACATTCGACTGTCGGCAATGTTTGGCAAGACTCAACGGAATGGTTGTAATGAGCGGATGATATCCACGGTGACTCGGGAGGATTCTTCTTTTGGATAGTTCCTTTCGCATTGAATTTTGGACAATCTACATACTCGCCTACTATTACGTTATATCGCTTGAATTGTACCGCATATTACATAGTTTTGAACTGAGGTTCCAACTGCAGTTACAGGCTGGTCTCCGTGGACGACCCCGTGTTCACCATCATGATGCGAACTCCTCGCTGCTGGGCGAAGGATAGCATATAGCTGTACTAGGCCAAGGCTTGCATGCTGTGTTCCTGGATTAATCATTGCATTCGTCGTTGTCATGCTGCGGCGGGGACGGTACGGTACCAGTCCCTGGCTTCACTAGATGATAACGCATGTCTAGTGGTGTCACCTGGCCAGGGGATCTCAGAGCCACTCGTGAAGTGACGTGGACGCCACATCCATCATGTGTATCGCCTCAGTATGATTAAGTCAACTTGAAAAGCATGCGGTGGAGCGGGTGAGTTCGAAGTCTTTTTTTTCAACAAGCGTGTACTTAGTATCCGTGTACTAGTAACTTAACGGTAACCTGTTCGGTCCGGGACCCCCCTACCGCGGTACCGGATGGGCCCATGGCTATTCATCGTGCCTTGTACGGAGGTTTAAAATACTTCCATGAGAAATTTCTATCCAGAGTAGCCATGACGTTATCACAGCTGTGCATAATGTTGCCACCGTCAAATTACTGGGCCACAGGCACTCATGGAAACGATCCAAGGTCAACCAACCTTGCGTACTCACGTAGTAGGTCCGAGCTGTCAACAAGTTCTTGCGATCGTCACGCTGGTCGCCGTCTGTTTATTAACGGTGCCAGCCCGAAATTTGGAAAACCTAGCCTTCAACATTCCAAATCCTGGCAGTCCCCCTTTTGTCGCTAATTCCTCGCGAAGTAGAATTTGTGAAGCCTTTTTCATTGCTTGTAGGTGAGTACACTGTCCCTCTCACTATCCGCTCGTTGCCTGATTGATGTCGAGGAAAAGAAGTGACCTTCTCGTTCTTATTCTACAATCCAAATCGTCTATGGTACCATGCCTGTCCAGCCAGCAGAGCATATTTCGTCTAGCACTGGCACTACTCGACACCCTGTCGAGTTTCAATGCTGTATATCACAGGATGGCACGCGTCGCAAACCAGCTGCAACTGCCAAATCACTTCCCCCCTCTCAACTCGACACCATTTCGCAGAAGGCTAAATCACAGACAATTTGTGACGGTCCTCTCCCCACTACTGCAAGGCTGAGCCGAGTATTTTCTTTCCCTCAATTGGGCACGAATACCAACAAGTCAAGGAACATTATTCCAGTGATCCCGACTCAATCCGATAGCATTTTTGTCAGCAGTCGCAGTAAACGATTGGTTCGACATCCCTCGCGAAATCCCTCGCGACATTTATCATCAATGTCAACTTTCGCTCAGACACCCTCCTCGCAGCATGCTACCCCCTTCACTAGCACACTACCTCGAACACCTTCGATGTGCGTTACGGACATAGCATCAAAGAGGCCCACAAATAAAACATCCTGTTCACTCCCAATCTCTGTTGAAGATGAAACGGACGAGGAAAGTGATGATACAGTTGCACGTTATCGGAAAATAAGGCAACTGCAAATGGCCAGGTTGGCTAAACTGACTCGTCACTTGGGCGAGGATATTCCGCCGGAGTTGGTTTTATCTTCCACTCTTCCAACAAATATACTCGAATCCGGGAGTCTGGTAGAAAGCCTTTCAATACATTCAAGTAAGGACCACCGGAGATGGCGGAGTTTGGACCCCACAGAAGACTCCCAATCGACACCAGCACTTCCAAGCTCGTGCAAGCTAAGGAAGAGTATGTCACTGCGTGACACACAAGGCGTTTTGCGACTGCAAACCCGCAGTGAGCATGCCGTCAATGTCATAGACGGGAAGCTTCCGTATGTTTTGCACCCTCCACAGACAGAGGTTTGTAGTTCGCTTTATTTTATTTTTCAGAAAATAAGCTTTATCCGCATTTTTGCAGGGAGATCTCCTTCAACATTCACAACCCACAGGCTGTATCGCGGCTTCCATATACGGACACAGTGATGTTTATCATTCGTTGATGTCGACTCCAAATGCTCCCTATGGTTCTCAGGATTCTTTACATCCACTTCCTCCTACATTGTTACCCACCTCGACACCTAAGCGATCGCAATTTCATGGGAACCCGGTCACGGCCGAGTCGACCCTTGACAAAATCTCAAATATGGAGTGCAGAGAAAAAAAACCAGACAAGTTTCTTGGCGTCGGCATCAACCCTGAGTCAATATCTCTAACAGATCGATCACTATACCCAACCGACGTAGCAGTTGGCATCCGTCACTCCTTAACACAAATCCCCCCATGCTCTCAGCTCGAAGTCAAGGTGCAAATCAGCAAAAGGACTCGTTTCTGGCGGACGAAATTCGGGAAGGATGTGGTGGATGTGGTGCAGAGCACTAATCCTGGCGATATTGCGAAGCAGCTGAGGGAGATGAAAGCTTCTATATGATAAAAACACTTATGTAGACCTCTTAAAGTTGATGGTCTGTACTTTCTAGTTTACATTACTTGCCTGCGATCACGCATTATTCCTTAGGTTATGGGATGGTTTATATAATAATTTCATCTGTCAGAGACTCACTCACTTGATTGTCCACAGTCGGATGCATTTGCCACAGTGACACAAGGTCACGGATTGCCTTTTAAACTCAGTTGGCCCTAGTAACCCTAACCTCAATCGAGGGTTTTCTTAACGCCACTACTCTCTAGTGTCAGCCAGTCAATGCACATCGTTATGGTAGGCAAATAACACTGTGTTCATACCCCTCTGATTCCGCATTTTAGCCCATATTCCAGGATGCTAATGGTCTTGCCATCAAGTTCTTCATTCAGAAAGATATTGCTCAGGAAATCCAAGCTGAGCTGTGTGAAGTCGTAGCTGTGAGTTGTAGTATCTCAGTATCTAGTATAAGTAGTCTGATTTGCTTCTAGTCATTAGGTGGTCGCGTCGAAGCAAAGGTTCCAAGACAGGGATACGTACTGGTCCAACCCGGTACTGCGGAGGAAGAGCGTCTTCGCCTGTGCTGGATGGCGCAGGATCGACCACAACGCCATTTCGTGCCGTATACATACGTGGAAGCCTGCAAGATTGCGGGCATGCAGTTGAAGCAGATCTTTGTGGAAAACGGCTTGCCCGTCAAGATGCACATTCATCCTAGCATTGCTAATATCAATGCACGCACAACTTTAAGTCAGAGAATCATGGTGAGCGGTATCCCGCAACGACTTATTCATTCGTCTATTTCAAGCTCACCATGCCAACTTTGTTTCAGCATTCCGGTGGCGACCCTACTTCATCTCCGCAGTCTGCTAAGATCATTCTTGCGGACCCGAACACAGAAGTCTTTCAACATCTCGTCAAAACATACCAAGGCATTCCGGATAAACATGTCGAATCGTACTTGTGGGTAAAAAAATGTGTTGAGAAGGGTTCTCTTGTATACACCCCTCTCATCTACAAGAACCCTGGCGGCCGACGTCCTGGGGAAGAGTACGTATCTCACTCGCTCTTGCACACAGAACATAAACCGACGTGTCCTCCTAGGAGAACGCCATTCACTGAAGACGACGAACAACGTTTATGTGAATGGATTGCGGCAAAGATACCATACAAGCAGACAGGCGGAAGGACTGGGAATAGACTCTATCAACAACTGTGCGAAATGGTGAACCCTTTCTATTGCTACCTCAGTATCTCCATGCTCATGAGGATCAGATCGCGGACCCAGAATACGCATGGGTTTCGCGTCATACATGGCAGTCTTGGCGTGAGCGTTACAAGAAGAATGCTGTGCGGTTAGACACCATGATCGCTCAAATCGTTGACCAGAAGAAGCCAGTTCCTGGGGAACAAGGGCAGTATGGCTATGTCCGGCAAGATGAAGAGAACAACAAACGGCCCAGGAAGAAACGCACCAAACCTGCGGAACAGAATTTGCATAAACAGGAAATGATAATTGGCGGCATTAACGGTAATGGCGCCGAAGTACCCGTGATTGTTTTCGACGCGTCACCGGTTGAGTCAGGACCGTCTACATCAAGAGTTTTCGTTCGAAATAGCCCTGCAGAGGAAGAACTGGAGGATGGTGAAGACAGCGAAGAGTGGGCGGTTCGCATCGGCAATGAACCTCCTCCAAAGTGGGGGAAGCGACCCGCCAGTGAAGAAAGTGAAACACGGAACTCTCGTAAAAGAATGAAGTCCGAGTGGGTAGTCATGACAGTTATTGAATATTATGGGCTCATGGATTTTTCAGTGATTCAGATTCTATACAAGGCACTTTGCTGGACCCCGGCGTCCATCTCATCGACCGGACGTTACAAGAAATAGCCACGGAGTACAGGTTTACACTTGAAGAGGTTAAAGAGTTTTATGACCAGTGTGGGGAAATGGAGCGCACGAAGAATCGCTTCCAAAAGATGCGACAAATATTGTCCAGTATCGGAGAGTCATAGCAACCCATTAATGTTTAATTTTACGAGGAGCAAATTTTAATATTGTATGCAATAGATTACAGTTTCTTCTACGGAAGATCGACTTCAGTAAGTTTGTAGTCTGCTGCTCGTACGGGTGCTGATGGACTATCGAAAGGCTTTCGGCGTCTATAATGTTTAAGTTGATTATAACGCCAGAATCCGCAGTCCCACACACGTACCTCTCGCCTGCAGCAGCGGATGGAAATGAGCCAAATAGATCTGGATGTTTTGGAAGTGGGGATTCGCTTCATTTGCTCGCGTTAGCTTGTAAATATACAGAGAATAAGAGGTGTTTGACCTGAAATACGGATGTTGTACAGCCTCTTCAGCACTGATACGTTGTTCGGGATCGTAGGTAAGTAGTGACACAAGCAGGTCGATACCAGCGGTTGTCATATGATGAAAACGCTGACGAAATTGATGTGGTTGAGGTGAGGGAAGAGTGATGGATTTTGCCAACGGAAGAGTGGAGTAGTCAGGCCAAGATAGACTAGTAGGAGATCCAAGAAGCTTGAAGATCATGGAAAGAAGCTCTATTTCGCTTTTCGCTTGAAACAGCGGTTCCTTCAGGAGGAGTTCAGCGAAAATGCATCCCACGGACCACATGTCGATAGCAGTTGAATATGTTGTAGCTCCCATGAGAATTTCAGGAGCCCTTGAGGGATGCATCATCTGCGATCATGATGTTGAAAACAATTGACATACCGATACCATAGTGTCACAACAAGCTGTGTCAGGCCACCAACACCCACAGGGTCTCCATACCGTCTCGCAAGGCCAAAATCAGCAACTTTGATGGTCCCGCGATTATTCATGAGCAGGTTGCTGGTCTTTAGGTCGCGATGAAGTATCCAGTTGGAATGGCAATGTGCGACCGCGGACAGCAGTTGAAGCATGAGAGTCTTGATCTCGGATTGCAGGAAGGGCGAAGGCATGAGTGTCAGGAGAGTTTTTAGATCATGCTCGATAAAGTCCATCACTACGAATACTCTGGTATGTGGGCGTGGTGATGTTGTGACATTTCTGAGATGCTTTACTCACTGAGTCAAAGTATCTCCGACCACCACTTCTCTGATTCGTACCACATTATCATGGTGACATGACATGAGAGCGTTGATTTCACGTAGGGCAGTGATAGGAAACCCATGTTTCTCCTCATCAAGCTTCAATTTCTTCAGTGCGACGATATCGCCTGTTTCCTTATCCCTCGCCCTGAAGACAACGCCGTAAGACCCTTCTTCGATCTGATTGAGTCTTTCATAACAGTAGACTGAACGAGATGGTTGTATTGATGGATGGTGAGTTCGAGGAGGAACATATATGCTATGTAATGGACGGGAAGGACGAGCAGTGGTAGTAGGATGCGACTCTGAACGCACAGGACTAGGTGGACGCACGCCGTGAGACCTGGTCCTTGCGGGGCGTTTCGATGATTGCTGCTGTTGGCGAATTGCTATGTCATCTGGATCTTCCTCGTCCCATTTCCCTCTTTTGCGCGGTGTCGATGTTGAAGACGTTGATTCTGATGGCATTGCCCATGCTTTGTGGCACTGTGCAGACAGGTAAGAGAATACCAACACGTGACACCCCAATCAATTGCGTGTGCTTCATCACTTTCACTCCTGTCAGTCGTCAGTACTTCAGTATGGATAATGTTATGGACCCAGAGCTAGCAGCTGAAATGGTGAAGCTTCTGGGGCAGGAACTAAAGGTTGTCCGCAGCCAACTTCGTGAAGCTGAGCAGGTAAAATAGCCCGGTCATTATTTGTAGGACTATCATGATAGCTCATACGCAAGCCCTTTCAGAGAACTGGGACTCCTGCAAGCGATGTCATCTCAACTGGTCCCCAATTTCAGCGCGAGGAAGCCCTACGGGCAGAGGTAGTCATACTAAAGGTTGAGAACGCCAGCCTTCGAGAGGAAATTTCACGTCTCCAGGCTCAGACCACAAACGTTCCGCTCAAGATGGAGGGCGATCCCTCCAATATTGTAGTGCAATACTCTGCGGTATTTAACTTGTCCCTGGATGTGCGCTCTTCTTATCTTATCGTGATCAACAGTCGATGGACGCAATTCAAAAAGAACTGGCTGACGCGATTAAGGAGAAAAACACAGCAATATTGGACAAGGTATTTCGGGACCACGCATATCACAGTACTTCTCAAACTTTGACCCAAATAGGAGAAGGCAGATGAACAACTTGCAGAGTTGACTAGCGTTCGTGAAAAATATCGGAAGCTCAAAGCGAGCAAACGAGAGTGCCAAGAGGTATTCGCAAACGTATGATATTGGATATGGAGCCTAAAATTTCTTCGCAGGTCATCGACGAATTACGTGGCCAACTTGAACTCTGTCTAGAAGAACGAGAGCACCGGGAGTCAGAAGGAAAAGTACTGTAAGCAGACCATATTCTTTGTGAACCCTCGTAGTGAAATGACGTGCAGCAAATCCGACCCACCTTCATTCTTTCAGAATACAGAGTATCCGACTGTCGGTGACCAACCAAATTCCAGCGACATCCCTATATACTCTCCCATCTTTTCCATGGGCATTCCCAGGGTTCGTAATAGTCTTTGCTCTTAAGCTATTACTGACATTTCTCGACAGACAGCCCGAACTCATTGGTTGGTCTATTCACTCGCAATATCTGCAGCATGCTAACCTACAAGTCGCAGTCGTTGTGACGGTACCCTCCGCCTTGAGAGGGATGTCGTGATGTTCGCCCGCGCAGGAATCGCCCTAGGCCTTATCGTAAGACCAACGCATCAATACAATCCCCAAAAGAACAACGGTGCATGGATTCGGGTCCGTCCAGATATTGAACTTGGTCAAAAGAAAGACTTATGTTATCACGACGGCCACGGTTGGAAGTATCTTGGCACCTATGAACGAACAGGCGAATCGTTCCTTCTTTCAGCTGAGCACACCAAGAAGCTGAGCCCTCCAGTAGGTCACTTTCGATTCAAACAATCAATAGTGACTAAAACTCCCAAAGAGGATGGAAGCGATGGCTAGGGACACCGTCTTATTCCGAGACCTTATTCCGCCTTCGCAGATGCGAATGGTGGAGAAGATGTATTGGGATGGAGTTCTTCAAATCGAAATGTTTGGTATCCGACGTGTCGCCTACGACCAAGAATTTGCAAAACAACTCTTCGAAAGACGCAAGGATCTTCCCAAAGGCGTGAAGGATGGTACCTTTTCAAATAACAAGCGGAAAAGAGGCTTTGAGACTGATGAAAGGCATGATCACAATCGAAAAAAGCCTTCAACATCCGACATTAACATAAACATAAAGGAGGAGAGCTCAGTGTCGTGATCCATGCAACACATTGGATAGGCAAGTGTATATTTTAGGATGAATACATGTGTAACAAATTTCTAATTCTTCACCAACCTCCAGGTCCTCGAACCTTTTTATCAAGACATACACGCAAGTGCCTTGGTACCACAGGCACTTCCATGCTTGATACGCATCCAACTTCCTGTTTAAAGAAGGGTAGTATTGCAACCTGCTCGATCGCAACAAACAAGTCTTCGAGAATTCTATGTAGCCTTTGACCCGTTAATTCGATAGCGGGTTCTGAATTGATTTCCAGCAGTTTGACTTGAAAGACTTGCGAGTTGCCTGACGAATCAAGCCCAGTTGAGTCATGAGACACCAGGAAGTCGACTCCATATAATTCGAATGCATTTGGAAGCGGCTGACATCAAGATTTAACACCAAGGCAGAGGATCAGTAGCAAATCACGTTACCTGGAAGTGTATAGGCATTTCCAAAGCGGCCTTGAACGTTTCCGCGAGAACAGAGCCCATTTGAACCTTTATGTTCTCAATATCTTCGGGGGTAAATAACGCTCCACGATCCGTATCATCTCCAGATAGGATATGACATCCTGAGAGTTCATCAAGTAAATGGACGCCTTTCTCGCCTCGATCAATCTGCAGCGAAGTGTTCGTAAGATGAGGTGTCAAGTCGATGTTTCCGGGAGCGTCATCGTTAACATCTCTCCCTTTCGTCGGACTGATATACGGAACAGCAGCGAACAGAGCAAGAACACGATCATACATGAAGAGTTGCAATGCTCCTGATGCAACAAAGTACGCCCGTAGATGAAACTGGACGTCAGCGTCATAAAAAGCTGACGAGGAGAAGATAGATTGGATTGACTTTATGTCCTTGCAAGTTTTCAGGTGGGTTCAACATAGAAACGTCAAGAGACCTTTCGTTGGGATCCAAGAGTATCGGACTAGGTATGTATTCCTGTGATCAAAAAACAGTCAGCATGACATCATGCAAAAAAAGAGATCTTGTGACCTGAATGACAAAATGACGAAGTTGTGATATTATTACAGAGGTGTCATCGATCTGATCTTCGTCTTCGGAATACTCTTCAAATTCTTTGAAAATGTGATATAGCGAGTCCTTGCTGTTGAACAACCTAATACCCATTCCTCGATCTGCCATGCCAGGCTTCAAAATCCACCATTGAGAGGAGTCAGAGTCGATTTCATTGCCAAGATCCCAGAGTTGGTCGCTCCACATTTCATCCAGCTCATCCGCATAAGAGATCTCGAGATCCCATGTCCTGGGCACCGCGTCCTTGAGGACGGAGTCGAGATGTTTTGTCAAGTACGAATGAATGCATCGTGCTAAGTAGTGTTTACGAATGAGAGCTTTTCTGATGGTGTAAGAGGACGACAGGACATTGTCAGGATTACGATGTGTCAGGTCATGGTCGATAGCATCGTAAGTGGACCACTGAAGCAGCTTTGAGCATTCATGGGTGCCAGGAAGTGATGTGATGATTGAGACAGGCAAATTTGACAAAGCTCTCTTGACGAGTGACTCGGTCAACGGCGCTGATGGCCAGGAGACAAAAGCAGTAGCCATATGGTTGATAGAATTAGGTTTTGAACGATTTATGATACGGCAAATTGTCCGTGTAACCGGCTAATAAGTTGCCAATAAAGATGACTTCCTGCCGAATTGTGTGAAACAACGCATACATATGCCAATTACCAGCGCTTTCTCTGAAGCCAGTGAGCTTGCCTTCAACGCCCATCCGATATGGGAAACAACTATATCTTCTCCCTTACGCCAACTTTCACTCAAGGCCTCGTGCTAGGTCAACTCTCAATCTTGGTTCTCCTCGCGCTTGTCCTCAAATACCTATTTTTCATTCCTCCTGAAAGTGAGACGGAAACCGTCCCATTCCATCCTCTGTCAAAATCAAACCCTTCGTGGCATCAAGACGTGAAGGAGGACGATAAAGACAGTGTTCCAGAACAGGAGTCAGCACATTGGTTCAATATACTCGCAAGGCAGGTTTGTTGTCTGAGCTTCTGGGCGGATTCCGATCCAATCTCATGTAATATTAGGTTGTGGAAGTGTACAGAGCTAAGCTTCAGAACAACCTTACGGGATACGAGGGAATTGAGGTTGCCCGCAGGAAAATTGAGGACCACGCGAATAACTTGCGTCCACGCGGATTTCTAGCAAGTATTCCGCCTGCATCGTCTTTGTCCATAACTCACAACTACAATAGGACCATATCACAGTACACTCTGTGGACCTAGGAATGTCTGCGCCCAAGTTGTCCAACGCACGGGTTGTGAATGACAACGATGGGGACTCCGCTCCGACGGTTAGTTTTCACGCCATCCTTGCACAGAACTATTTCACCAGATAGACAGACAATCGAATTCGACATGTCATATACAGACACCATTTCCGTCTCACTTTCTACGTCCTATTTGTTTAATTACCCCATGTCTTCGTTTGCTCGGCTACCTGTTTCACTCACAATATCTTTATCTCTGTTCGAGTCAAAAGTGAGTTATTACCCATTTTTACTTCTTGGAACACAGGGAGTCATATTCTCTAGGTTACTTTGGTTCCTCCGTCTCCTGCATCAGCTGCCCCCGTTTTGACCATATCGTTGCCACAAGACTTTACTCTCAACCTTAAGACAACGTCGCTCATGGGGAGCCGAGCAATGCTCAGGGACGTGCCAAAACTTCATGAGTTGATTGAATATCAGGTCAGGAAAGTCCTAGCCCTCCGAGGAACAGTGGAAAGTTATTCTACCTGGTATGGGAAGCTTGGCTACCGTTCAACAGGAGATAGAAAAAGAACAGGCTGCTTCCAAAGAGCAGGGCTGATGGTGGAGGGAGTATTTATTCATGCTATTCTACAACTGTGTAATCATTTCACTCGTTCGTGCGTGATATCTTGTCATCAATTGTACTTATACCAACAACCCAGTTACTGAAGTAATAATCACCGATATTAACTCGAAGCTGCTGATGAGCTCAGTCGATTCCTAGGTTTGCTGAGTGAAGACAAACGTGGCCCAGGACACGGTGTCGTACGGATCAACGTTTGGTCGATAGACTTAGCAATGGTATGACATCGTACCACCAGTAGGCTACCACATTCGTCTGCAGGTTTGATAAACGAGAATACCATGCAAGGTCCAGGGTCGAAGTATGGGGCCAGTGATCTCGTCCATTCGTTCGCCCCTGGCCAGCAGGCCCGTCCATTCTTGTTAAGTCAATATTGAGCCTAAGAACCACGACTTTTTGAGTGATCACAAGACCGTTTACATTACAGGGTCACTTTCCATGGTCTGGCGTTTGCGTGTTTGTATTCTCACTGATATCACACTTCTGCAGGTTATGTCTAAAGTCAGGTTAAGAGCAAATGCAACAACCACCGTGAGAAGGAGAACAAGATCATGATGGATGCATACTGGCCAGACCCTTAGAATACGGAAGACAGTAGCTCCTTTTGATAGAGGGTATCAGATCCCCAGTTCGTCTAACCACTGCTCTATTTTCATGAAAGCATCCTGACCTTCTAAGTTGTCATGTTCAATCAAGTCAACCGACTCATTTTGACCCAACCGACTATACTTCCTCAGCTGATCCATTTCTGCTGGATGAGCCATAACGGCGACGGGGAACTTGAGTTCGTAGTCAAACTCTCCTAGCGGAGTTGGAAGAACTGCTAGGAAACAGTGACGCATTGGATAGTGGAGGGGAAATCATAAACAATCCCTGTGCTGAGTGGGAAGAGATATATGTCTGTGCGATGAGAGAAGCAAAGCCTCGCGCGAATATTACAGGTGGGAAGGGATTTCCAGAAAGGCGCAAGTTGACTTTGAGCTCTGAAACCGACGAGATGTAGTATGCACTCCTTCAGACTCGGATAAATGAAGCATACCTTCACTCAAGTGACCCACAAGACTCTGTGAACTGGAGCACTTTTCGCTCTCACTAGGTGGTCCAAAATCGACCTGAATGCAGGTGTGACCTTTCTCCGCGAGCATAGAAGCAAATGACTGGGGGATGAAGGCTACCGTCGACAGTTTTCGTACAATGTTCAAGCCGAGCAATGGTAGCAAAACAGAATGCTCACTTATTCCGTGTTCCTAAATCCCAATATGACGCTGAACACAAAACCAAAGGCGTTGGCACCTCTCGCGGTGCATGCTTGGGTGGATTCCAGATAGTAAATGTAGATGAATGTCTGACTTGCAGCGCTGTGCGAGTTGCTGGCCGGAGAATATATAGACAATTGCTACTGTGCACGACGTTGAACATGCCAGCAAGGACAGCCAAACAGGGGTCGCGGATATCCCAGTGCGGTAATAAGCAAGAAACGCTCCTTCATTCACGCGTGAATATTGTGTCACAACTTATGATACTGGTTGGATCCAAACACAGATCAATTCCTTCTATTACTCATGGCCTCAACTTCATCCAGCATCGTTTTTGACGATATTTTTACGACCGATGCCATCGACAAGGATGGCAAAAAATTTGATCGAGGTCAGGGCTTGTTCATGCACATCGCTTTTTTACCTGTGACTGACATGTGCTGTGTACGACCAGTATCTCGGTTATACGCTCGTTCAAAAAACTATGATATGGACTTGACGCTTGACTATAATATCGAACTCTTCCCTTTAGTGAATGGGGATAGTTTTGCGATGGCCCTTGCTTCGTCGCTATCACGAGATGGCGGCGCACCCACCGCAGATGGAGAAGGTGCGGAAGACAAAGACAGAGATGTATGGAGGCCAGATGGTAAAGGAAGGAGAGGATTGGAAGAAGATTATGACTATGTTATGTATGGGAAGGTGCGTCTCCATCTCTCCGAGTCCATCACCTTAAGTTTGATTTTATTCGTTGGTCCCCGCAGGTTTATAAGTTTGATACTGGATCTTCCGACATTGTGTAAGTTACTTGCATGTTCGTTGTCGACCCCCTTCTCACTCATATTACTTACTTCGTAGCACGGCCTACGCGTCATTCGGTGGACTTTTGTTATCGATCACAGGCTCATATCGTCATTTGACCAATGTCGTGCTCGGCGATCCTGTGTACGTACTGCTCAGAAAATGATTATCGGGGATGTTAGTACTTTGCCTCTGAAGCAACCATCGTGATGCTATTTAATGCGTCACCACTGGTCATCCTGATTGAACTGGCAGCTGCACTGTGGTATAGTTCGGCGGCTGCAAAGCTAGTGTTACGTCATGACAGTTCATTGGACTGACCTCATGATTATCCTCACGGGGTTGTTTTATATAAAATGCGTTACGTTTGTCTTGCTACGTGGTATTAGTAGTCTACCTTTCACCCGGCACACCATGTTCCGTCTTTCTACGAGAGTGCTTGCTGCGAGAGGTTATCATCTTTCATTGCGTTCAAGCTGCATCCGCAGCTGCATCGGAACAAGTTACCACCACTCATCGTCTTCCGGGCATACCACCCAGGAAGATGTTCTTCGTATCGGAAAATTTGTGCTGGGTTCCTTGCTTGCGATGGGGACAAGTTATTATATCTTCCAGTACCGCGAACCCAGATTGATACCAGCAAGACTGGAGACTGGTGCTACTACTACCATCCATGCTACATCTGGTGAGCTCGAAGAGCTGTCACCTGCACACCTCCAGAGAAGGGGCTCAGACGAGCTATCCAGTGCAGGTGGTGCAGGAGACATAACCGATGTGTTCGGGAGCTCCTCATTCTCAACGCCCACCTACGGGTCTCCCGAAGACGTTCAAAAAGCAATTGAGGAACTACGCGACGCCCTCCCCGGCAAGAATCGCGTTCAGACCAGTCCAGATTCCCTCCGAGTGCATGGCTCCTCCGACCATTCGTATCACCCGAGTTGTCCTCACTCGGTTGTAGTCATGGCATACAGCACGGATGACGTGGTAAAAGTCGTCAATATCTCTCGCAAGTACAAGGTTCCCATCATTGCGCTCGGCGGTGCTACGAGTATAGAGGGCCATTTCACCGGTGTGAGAATTGAGCAATTATCTTTCGTTACTTGGGCGATGTTAACGTTCATGATGGCCAGTTTCCTTCGGGTAGCATATGCCTTGATCTGTCTGCGATGAATAGCATTTTGGAAATAAATGGTGTGACACGGTGTTTCTGCTTGTTCCAACACCGATGCTCATGAAACTGTCTGTAGAGACTGATGGTGATCTGCGGTGTCAGCCTGGAGCAAAGTGGGAAGACATAAACAATACACTAAAAGACAGGGGCATTCCTCTATTCTTCCCTGTGCGTACGTTTCGCCATGGCCTATGAATTCACTTTAAACTTTTGAACAGCTTGACCCAGGTCCTGGAGCTGTAAGTCATTCTGTATTCCAATCTTTTCTTGTTCAAATCATGACTGGCTACAGACCATCGGCGGCATGATTGGTACAGGGTGTTCAGGAAGTTGGTGCTTTTTTATGTTGTTATAGTGCTGCATATATCAACCCCAATCCCAATACAGCCAATGCAGTCAGATATGGAACTGCTAAAGCAGAATGGTTTCTCAATATCGTGAGTTCAATCCAAGTCTTCTAGAGAGTGTTTTTGGATCACCCAAGTCTGTATCAGACGGTCGTCCTTCCATCTGGCAAAGTGATCAAGACCCGTCGACGGGCGCGCAAGTCTTCCGCTGGCTTCGATACTACTAAACTTTTCATCGGTGCTGAAGGAACGCTTGGAATAGTCACAGAGGGTAAATTTGGCATTTGGTACTCGGGATGACATTCTAATTCCAATACTATTCCAGCTACATTGCGATTGGCTCCTAGAGTACCCACTAAAGTTGCTATGGCACAGTTCCCTGACGTCGAAAAAGCGGTCAGCGCCGTTCAGCAGATCCTTAATACTCCACACGGTCCTCATATACGTCAGTGGCAAGTTATATATCGTTTAATTGACCGAAACATTTCCTTCCAGAATGCGTGGAGCTGTTGGACGATCACAGCGAGTAGACTAGTTTCATGTCTTTGACGCTAGCTCAAGTGCTTTCAGTGATGGCAGCCATTAACACTGCTGGGTTGGTTGATGCTCCTTATCCGGTGCAGGATACTCTCTTCTTCAAGATTCAAGGATCCCCTGAATCTATCCGTGACACTTCCAATGTCGTGCAAGAGATTGTACAACGTCATGGCAGTACTCGATTTGAATTCGCGGCAACAGAGGAGGAGGCAGGTGAGATGTGGGAAAATCGAAAATATGTGCGTCAATCGCGATTGTTTTGCCATAATATTGTGACGATCGTTTAATCTTAGGCTCTCTTCTCGACGTTGGCGACACAACCTGGTTCAAAGGTTTGGACAACTGATGTATGGTTAGCCTTCCCGAGCTTGATGGTTTTCAATGATGCGTATGACGTGGGTTAATTTACAGCGTGCCGGTTTCCCGACTTCCGCAGCTAGTCTATGAAACCAAAGAGGATCTTGCTAAGGCTGGTTTGAAATCGACTATTGTCGGACATGTTGGTGACGGTAAGGGCATTGAAATGCGTTGTTTCGTTGTGTATAAATGAGTTATGTAGGTAACTTCCACGCACTCATTCTATTCAAAGATGAAGAAGAACTGCGGAGCGTCGGTGAAGCGGTTCACAGATTGGTCCATCGCGCCATCCAGATGGATGGGACATGTAAGTGTTCCAGATGCCTTAAGCATATTGTCTTTAGGCCTTTTCTCTTCAGGTACGGGCGAACACGGTGTAGGGGTAGGCAAAACGGAGTATCTTGTGGAAGAACTGGGCGAGGATACTGTGGAACTGATGAAAACCATCAAAAATGCCATCGATCCTTTGAACTTGTTCAATCCTGGAAAGGTGCGTGATTCAATTTCCAATTGCTCTTTGAGGCGTTGATCGTACATGTTGCAGTTGTACCCAGAAAATAACAAGGACAAGATGACTTGATCGCCGGTGGCGTAAATTAACGGACCCTCCAATGCTCGGAGTCCGAGGACAGCTTACTTCTTAGATAACCTTCTTGAATTATACGGTGGCTGAATCTTTCTTACACTGGAGAAGCGTTAGCCTTAAGACGACGTGGGTACCAAACTGGAAACCTTAGATTCAGCGAAACAGCAGTCTTGCACATCAGGAAAAACCTCCTGGCAAAAATTTCGATAATCTTTGATAAAATCCAAGAATTAGGTCTAATTAGCAGCCTTAGGAGAATTAGGAAGATTATATAGTTTAGAAGGACTTTTTAACCCCCTCCTCAGTGTTGGATAATTATCAAGATTTAGCTGATATTAGACATAATAGTGGTGAATTGCAGAAGCCGTTATTACAAATGTTGGTTCACAGATCACACGTCCCAGGCAATGTTACAAGAACAAAAGACTAATATTGGATTAAAACATGTGTATTAAAGTAATTGCGAAACAGCTGACGACGAGGGTATGAGGAATTTCGGTACAATCACTAATGAATGCACAATATACAGGAATGGATCAGCACCGTGACTACAGAACCTAATCATCGGCCATGCCATCCAAGTCGAGTAGCGACAGAGCATTTCGATGCTCACTGGCGAGATGATCATTGCCCTTCTGTTTCAAAGCCCTGCAAGTAGCGTCAGTATCCAGCATGTCAGAATGGCACCATCCACACCAGCGAAACTTACTGTACAGCTTCGAAAATGTCAGCCATCATACAGTGAAACTTTCCAGGTGCGTCCTTCTTCAAACCCTCGAGAAAGTTGACATGGAAAACATAAGTTTCACTGAATTGATTCCCGGTAAAGTTAAACTTTCCCGGTGAACCAAGCGTCTTCCAGAAAAGGGCCGTGTAGATCTTGAAAACAAATGAGCACAGCATGAAGGCTTAGTGGAAAGGACATTACTGCTGTTGCCGCCAGCGCCAGCAATGGAATGGGGACTTCGGAGCGTTTGGCCTTGTTTCTCGCAATTTCGACAAAACGCGCCGAAAATCTGACGCCGATGGACTTCGCACCATTGAAGACTCCGTCGTGTAACAGAAAAATCAGTAGTTCACCCTGGTAGGGCTTTTTCCCTATGGGCAAAGCATCGTCGTTGGACTGTTGAAGAGGGAAGTTAGTAAGAGAATAGAATGGTCGAGGAAGGAGAAACGATATGGGAATACGATAAAGAACCCGCTCCTGGGTGTTGGTGAAGGAGGGAAGATATGGGAATACGATAAAGAACCCGCTCCTGGGTGTTGGCGAAGGAGGGAAGGGACAGAGTAAACTCACATCAAACCTCAAGGCATATACATATGCGTGCTGCTCCATGAGTTTTTTTGCCTTGACTATGTTGTTGCTGAGACGGAAGTAGCTATCGATGTTCGCACATGCAGCGACTTTCAGATCACGCCGCAATAATGGGATCCGGGGCTCGACCTCAAGTAATAGCAATGATAGTTAAAAAAAATCCGTAAAACGAGACATGCGAATGACTTACCAAGCTACCAAGGAGAGCAGCATACTGAGCATCTGTTTGAAGGCGTTTTTTGATGGCTTTTATGCCGCGATTCTCGGCCACCGTTAGCAAAGACTGGAGTGATACCTGGTTTTTGTCGACGAGCTCAGGGTAAGCATTGACGAAGATGATGTGACCTTTAGCGTCAATAATGGCATCCCGGACTACTCGCCGAGTCTCCAGGTTCTGATCGAGTAGTTTGACGTTTCCTTTCTCCGTTCGAACGAGAGAAGCTGCAGAGGTGACCTTCTGGACAACTTCAATGTCGCTGGAGGGAGGTTCCAAGGAGTCACCACGAGTAGTGGATTCTTCAACTGACTCTGAGACAGCGTTGTTGACATCGCGCCACATTGGAGTCTGAAGGTAGTCTGTAGTATCAGCGTAGAGTATATAATAGTATGGACTCACCTCCTCGGCTTGCTTTCGCTCTCTGGCGGATTGCTTCAAGGAGTTGCCACGTGATTGAACAAGCGAAGGCATCTTCCGAAACTCAGAATCAGCAGGATCAGCTTAGGTAAACCAGTGCAACTACTAACCTCGTCTGAGAGCATCAAGGCAGTGGCCTCTGGTTCTTCGCCCTCACTCTCCTCGCAGTCGGCATCAGTATCAATGCCATTTGGTGGCTTGTCCTCAAGATCTTCGTCGGAGTCGAACATCGCAGTCACATCGCGCATCGCATAAGTGCGACAGAGTTTCTTAGGACGGGCAGCTGGGATGGTGCACATCATCATAGTGAGTAAGATTCAAACCCCTTGTTATCTATAACTCACCTCGATTTTTTTCAGGTCGCAAGTCCTCTGAGTCGCTACCATGGCCACTAGAACCATACCCATCATCCAATTCCTCGTTCACAAAGGTACGCTGACGCTCTACCATCAAAGTTAGTACTTATCGCTATGATTTCAAGATTAAATACGTGATGTACTCAGTTTTGAAGGCAAACCCTGGTCAATCTGAGCAACCGCACTTGGCGCTGGTCGTTTCGCTTTGGTGGGTGGTTTGGTAGATGGTTTGGTGGGTGGTTTGGTAGATGGTTTGGTGGGTGGTTTGGTGGGTGGCCTACTCGCCGGTGGGTTGGGAGGTGCTTGAGTCTGTTGAAGAACTTTTCTTGCCGACTTTTCAGGCATCCAAACTGAAGTAGCAGGTGAGCATTGAATTCTCTGATTTCAAGCCTGACCGAAGTCGCTTGCTTACTGGCTTTTTCCATAGCTTTTTTCTTTGCATTTCGGGGCTCTATTCAAGCCCAGTGAGAAGCTGCCGTCTCGCCAATCTTCAAAATAATATGCTTAACTCACCACGAGAATTAAGAGGTGCGTACATGCTATACTGGATTGCAAGGACAGGAAGCTAACTGAATGAATGTTCAGGATACGAAAAGAGCGGGAGGGGGGGTGAAATAAAAATTTGACAACGCTGTTAGATTTTTCGTTGTCATTTTTAACGGTGACATTGTGTGCATTGCAGTGCATCGGTGGCAGTTCCGAGTCGTTAGGTGAGTTCATTTTACCTCAGACTCACTAGGATATTTGCGCGTATATCGGCCACGTTGATCCACCACTCCCTCACCCTTCACCTTATCTTTGGCACAAAGCATCCTTTACTCTGTCCACCCTTCACTTCGGCTAATACTGCTCATTGGGCACTGGTCTACTTCCTGATTCCTGTCGTCCGCATATGCTGTTCAGATGCGGGTCCTGGCTCTCGACCTCTCGGCGCCTCAAAATTTTTGTTCATTATTGCATTTCAAGGGATGCCGGAGGCAGTTACCGGTGAGTTCAATTCGCCGTCAAGGGTTCAATTTTCAGTCAATACTCAGACTAACCTCCATCTCTAATAGCGTCTACTAGTACTCCCTCAACCTGAAAGAACTTGCGTTCACACTATGTCACGCCTATGCTCTTCCCACTCCCGTCTACTACTACTCCCTCAACCTGAAAGAACTTGCGTTCACACTATGTCACGCCTATACTCCCTCCCGCTCCCGTCTACTACTACTCCCTCCACCTGAAAGAACTTGCGTTCACACTATGTCACGCCTATACTCCCTCCCGCTCCCGTCTACTACTACTCCCTCCACCTGAAAGAACTTGCGTTCACATTATGTCACGCCTATGCGCATGCCACATGTTCTGTCTCAATTCCCGCTCCCGTTCACCTCAATTGGGTGCCGAATATAACGTTGACCTGCATTTCAAGGGGCTCGGAGGCAGTCAATTTGGTACGTTCAATTTGAGGGTCTAAACATTACTCAGGCTAACCTCAACCCTCTCATCCTCCACCCTCATAGTGTTACGACTGGGATATGTCGAGCTGTCTTAGTCCGAGTGGACTGAGTTTCGGCGAGACAGACGTGGTTCTTCTCTCGAGTGAGAGGTCAGAGGTTTCTGGCTAAGGCAAGTATCGGCGACTTCCTTAGAATGGTGGTTCTTAGATAGCAAGGTTGGAGACCTTGCTAAAGGACTTGTTCCAGGTAAAACCCAGTAGATTAAAGTAAAGAACTACATGTGGTACGCTATGTGTCTATATAGCGAGAGTTCAAGCGGAGCTTGTAGGTGCGTATCAAGATAGAAGGCGGACAGCCCGCTTGGTAAGAGATAAGAGATAAGAGATAAGAGATAGTAACCATGGTGCGGACAGCCCGCTTTGATAAGGGAAGGTCTAGACATAGTGATGGTTACTAGCACGGAAAGCTAGCTTGACGATGATGTGAGTAAGAGTCTGAAAAGTAATTGGTCGCTCATTAAGGGCCGTGTCCATGTACCATTGACCGGTAGTAAAGGAGAAACGAAGAGAATGAATGTACCGTAACATTACCCCCGTGTTATGGTCGATGGCACCGGCATCGACGTCGCTAGTTGTCCTGGTTTGCGTAGTAGATGGGGTCAGCGTCGGCATTGTGGAATTCTAATTCCTCTGGTTGTACCAAATACTCCCTGTTGGCACGCTCAAGATCCTCCTCTTCCTTCTTATCTTTCTCCGCTTCCCACGCGGCTAACGCGTCGTAGAAGCCTTCGTCGGTATAAACCAACGGGAATGGTATTTTGGTGGTGGCGAAGGGGCAATAGATGGAGAAGTGCCCGGGTTTCGTGTCGCCGCAAACGCGGCAATAGTACAGGGGGCAGTTCTTGTGCTTGTGACCAAGCTTCTTGCAGAGTCGGCAAATGAAGTTGGCGTCGGCGATAGTGCCGACTACTTGTTTCAATGAGGGGGTTCTGATAACGATGCTGGAGGACGGGATAGAGGGGGGTTCTTTGGTGAGGTCAATGACCTCGCGCTTCTTTCCTTTGGATGATTTTTTCTTGGTTACGCCGTGAACGGTGGCTCCGCCACGGAGGTTTCTTCTATAGACCTCGTTGGGCGCTGGGATAGGTATCGGTGCAGCGTTCCCTCCAATCGAAGTTGGATCAGGTAGAACAGCGGGGGGGTTATGAGTAATAGGAGGCAACGGGCGGCCGACTTGGAAGGAGTTTCGATCAGCAACAGTCTGTATAATTTCCCTGCAGATAGTACTAAAACCAAGAGGGAATAGCTGAAGCGTAAGCGAGCGAATGCGCCTCTGGACGTGGTTGCAGGAGAGTCTGAGGGCGTCATTCTCAATCTGGGCAAACTCTTCCTCGAGGCGTTGGGTGGCTCTGATGATATGGATATAAGTGGCGGCGACTCCGGCTGGCACTGCTGGCTGATTGTTGAGATAGGTTTCAATCTCGAGGGCGTGGGCAACGGAAAGGATGGTGGTCTCGACGATGACGTCGTCTTCAATGCTGACAACGTTGTCAGCGAAGGGGGATTCGCAGAGGCTAATAGAGGAGACGCTGGATTCGGTAGGGGAGGTGGTTTGAGGAGACATGCTTGTTTTAACAGTGGGGACTGGTCGATTTAGTTCAACTTATGCCTCTTCTTATAGGCGGAAAGTAGGTCCCCGGCGTTCTCCATGTTCTCTGCTGGAATCCATTCGTTGCTTCCAGAAGAGTATCCTTTCCAAGATACGAGATAGCGTCTTCGTTTACCCGTGCCCTTATGACTTAGGACGGCTTCGACTTCGTATTCCTCCGATTGATTGACCATATCTGGAGGTGGTTCTTCGTAGTTCGGTCCGTGGATCTCTGTCTCCTGATAGGAGGATAGTTCGGAAGCATGGAACGTGGGGTGAACCTTCCACTGTTCAGGAAGCTTCAGGGTGAACGTGATGGGCGATAGGACTGCGGTTATAGAGAATGGTCCGTGCCGTTTGGGCGCAAGTTTCCTGGATGGGAGAGTGGTCATGAGATTAGCTGCAGACAGCCAGACCTTATCTCCTATCTTCCATGGTTGATACTTCTTTCCGTGCGTTCTTTCTGCCATTCGTTGCATGGCGATATTGTGGCAAGAGATAGCTTCCTCCCTGATCTTTTGGAGGGTGCGAACCCTTTCTTCTACGGCAGGCGTATCCGACGATGGTAGTACGTGGGGAATACCGCGAGGTTCGTATCCCATCATGAGGAAGAACGGCGATGCGTTCCTTGCTTCATGTCTTCGGTGGTTGTGCACAAATTCGGCGAGGGGTAAATGATCTGACCACTCATAGGGGTTACTTCTACAGTATATCCGGAGGTATGTTTCTATTTCTTGGTTGAGCCGTTCGGTTTGTCCGTCGGTCTGGGGGTGGTATGCTGTGGAGGCAGCGATCTGGTATCCTAAGAGGCGTGCTAACTCCCTAGAGAACCTAGAAATGAATTGGGGGCCTCGATCAGAGATCACCTTTTCATGGAGTCCGAAGCGTTTGAATACGTTTTGAAGAATAATTTGGCCACTCCCTCAGAAGAGATGTTCTTGTTACAGGGGGAAATAATCACCCCCTTCGTAAGGCCATGGTCTACCACGACCATGAGAGAGTCAAAACCGTTGGACAGAGGAAGGTCGGTGACAAGGTCAACAGAGACCTGGGAGAAGGGGCGGGTCGCGGAGGAGGAAATGGGGACAAGGGGCGGCGAGACGGGGTGAGTGTCAGTCTTCATCTGCTGACAGAGAGCGCAACCGGCGACATAGGAGCGAATAAAAGTGCCCATTGCAGGCCACCAATAGTCACGCTTGACGAGTTCTTCAGTTTTGAAGCGTCCGGGATGCCCGGCAGTGGGATGGTCATGGTGACGGAGCAAAATGGCCGTCCGGTGTGATGGTGGCACATAGGCGCGAGACTTATAATAAAGTACACCGTCCGACATTGTCCAGTCGGAGAGGGCTGATTTCATAGGGGGTAGGCAAAGCCCATCTAGAGCGTCGCTGGCCGTGGAGAAAATGGGGTCGTCTAAGGACTCCTGTGCGAGCGCAGCGGAAAGTTCGTTGTCAATCAGTTGTATAAACATGGAGTCTGGGAGGAGCACACGATCCTCATTGTCGTGTTCTCCAAGGCCATGATCTGGGCGGCGAGAAAGTGCGTCAGGCACTGCAAGTTTCGTTCCAGGAACGTGATGCAATTCAAGGTCATAATTAGATAAAACAAGCTGCCAACGTGCTTGTCTCCGGGAGAGTTTCTGTGCTTTAGAAAAGTAGAGAAGGTTCAGATGATCGGTGAAGACGAGAATGGGATGGGGGTTTCCTTCTAGATAGTGGCGCCATTCATTGAGGGCGCGAATAATAGCAAGGAGTTCGCGATCGAAGATTTCGTAGTTTCGTTCGGCGGGGTTGAAGGATTGAGAGATGTATTCACAGGGGTGATAGACGCCATTTTCATCCGTCTGGAGGAGTACAGCCCCTGTTGCTACCAAGGAGGCATCTGTGGCAAGGGCAAACTGGCGGGTAGGATCAGGGTTTCGTAGAACTGGCTTCGTCGTAAAACACTGCTTGAGTTTATCGAACGAGGCCTGCGCGTCAGTCGTCCAAGCGAAGACTTGATCTTTTCGAGTGAGATTGATAAGTGGCCGGGCGATATCAGAGTAGTGGGATACAAACGCCCTGTAAAAGTTGCAGAATCCTAGAAAGGAGCGGACGTCTTTTACAGAAGTCGGGATAGGCCAATCCTTTATCCCATCAACTTTAGCATGCTCCATTGCGACTTCTCCGGGACGAATAACCATTCCAAGATACTCCACTTCTGCCGCGTCAAAAGTACATTTTTCTGGTTTAACGAACAGTTGTTCTCGGCGGAGTATCTCTAGTACTCTTTTCGTTCGTTCGTGGTGTTCCGTTAAATCAGAGGAGAAAATGAGAAGGTCATCCATATATATAACGATCCAACCTTCGTTGATTTCGTTTTGAAAGCGGTTGTTCATATAAGATTGGAAAGTGGCGGGAGAGTTGGTTAAGCCAAAGAACATCACGGTAGGCTCAAATAGGCCTTCCTC